GTTCTTGGGCCGAATGAATGCAAACAAAGCCAATCTCATACACAAAAGAAGTCTGTAAATAGGAATAGGAGAATCTCTCAACTTTGTTTGTCCCCAGTTTCTCGTTTTTCCACGCATCAGTTCAGTTGTGCACATTGCTGCCTCACTTTGAGTTTATTATTTTTTAAGTCCTCATGAAAATTCACCAGCATTTTAGTGTGATTTTCTCCTAATGTACAATTTGTGTGCAATTTTGTCCAACATACACCCCCCGAAAAAAATATAACTCATTTTTATGTTACTTTTGCTAATGATGGAAGCAGCTGCCCCTGCTCACCCTGCCTGCCAACCTCACCTATCGGGGGGCCAATTTGAATAAAATATTGGGGGGCAGGTAATCCCCACCCTGCATAATTGATCAGTCCCCTTTACACCTCAACTACATCCTTGCTTCTCCCCTCACAGCTTGCCCCAAGCCCTACCCCCATTTAAAGGGGAGGCAGGTGCTTCAAAGCGTGGTCTTGGTGAAATAGAATATAGTTCTATCTAAGTTATATTCTTTTATTTCTTAATGTGCATATTTGCCCATTGTATGCAAATCTGCATTCTCCTTTGTCTTTTTTGTTAGTGGACTACAACTCCCATCATGTCTAGCTAGCAGGATCAGCAGCCAGAGAAGATGGAAGTTATAGCCCAACAACATCTGGGGCCCCAAGGTTGAGAAAGTCTGCTCTGGATGGTTCCTCCAGCCTCCTTGCGTTCCAAACGTTCCTCAGATGAAAACAAGGACATTTTTCACTCCCCTGCAACTGACCCTCCTCAATTTCACATTTTTGCACCGCCCCCCTCACAGTGCATTTCCTATCAGAAGAAGGGCGAGTACCGCCACCACTGTCAGGGACCATGCTGAGGAGGACTGCACTGACGAGGAATGGTGGGAGCCACCTGCTCCTGCTCCTGAATCTTCCCAGGAGCAAGAGGACAGCATAGATGTGGAACAGTGGTTTGCAGAGGGGCATAGCTCAGAAGGCAGAAGCTGTGAAATACTGGATGGGGAGCAGCTAGCAGAAGAAACACTAGAAGAGAGAGAGACTTAACAGATTCACAGTCTCTGGATAGTACAGTGGTGCCTCACAAGACGAATGCCTCGCAAGACGAAAAACGCGCAAGACGAAAGAGTTTTCCGTTTTTTGAGTCGTTCCGCAAGACGAATTTCCCTATGGGCTTGCTTCGCAAGACGAAACGTCCTGTGAGTTCTTGCGAGTTTGTTTCCTTTTTCTTAAAGCCGCTAAGCCGTTAATAGCCGCTAAGCCACTAAGCCGTTAATAGCCGCTAAGCCACTAAGCCGTTAATAGCCGCTAAGCCGCTAATAGCCGTGCTTTGCAAGACGAAAAAACCGCAAGACGAAGAGACTCGCGGAACGGATTAATTTCATCTTGCGAGGCACCACTGTATCCATCCCCCTTCTCCAAAGTCACGGAGAGCTCAGAAAGTGTCAGAATGGAAAGCACAGAGGGTACAAGCTCAGATTACAAGACGGAGGAGTGACGTAGATAAATAGGGACGGAGGGGGAAGCATCCCTTAATTGGGAGCACCGCCACTTCTATGAGATGTGTTCTTTGTTCTCTTGCTATGATTATTAAAGATTCTAACTGGTGAGGTGTTCCTTTCGTTTGATCTCTTATTTACTGCCACAGGGGGGGGGGGAGGAAGCTGATTCCCCGAAGTCTGACAACCACTTCACCAACAGGACATATGCCCTCCCCTGTTTGGAGAAAACTGCTTAATCCCCATTTCACTTCATTTTATTCTTGGGTAGATATACAAAAAGAAAAACACACACCGATAAATAAATTTTAGAAAGGAGCAAGATTAGATGTGAATGCACAAAGCATTAATAATAATAATAATAATAATAATAATAATAATAACTCCTTGTGTTCAGCTCTGCTCTTCCTTTCCTCCCGCCCAGGGCAGCCCTGTCTTCTGCCTGCCTCTCAGAGCTGGCCATGTCAAGTGAATCTGGGCCTCAATGGCAGCAGCCTCTCCTCCTTCTTGCCGACTCTCCAGCAGCTGCTACGAGCTGTCCAAGAGAGGAGGCTGGCAGTGGAGGCCATGGGTTGCTCCCTTACAGCCACAGCTGCCACCACCGCCATTGCTTCGGAAAAGTGCCAGCTCATCCTTCTCCCTGAGCTTGGCAGCAGTTGGCACTGGCGGGGGAAACAGGGACATTCTGAGATCATATCAGAAAGCCCAGGTGGCTTTCCAAATTCTTGGACTCCCCACTTGGAGGGTATATGCTTGGCTGGCTGGGGATTGCCCAAGTACAGTAGGCCTCAGAAATGGCGGCTTGTCGCTAGGCAAATGAGGCTTCCTACCTGTTTTGGCACCTGGAGGATTTCCTGTGCTACTGCCGTGGCAAAGATGGCCTTGTTGCTTCCTGGGCTCAGTTGTAAGGAGAGGGAAAGCCCAGTCACCAGCTGGACCCCCAGGTCAGTAATAGTCACCTTCTCATCGAGGACAGTCACAGTCTTTTCAGCCAAGATGGCGTCAGAAAGCGGAGACAGAATCTGTTCAGGAAAACCGAGGCAACCCCATCAGAACCCGCAAGGAGAGTCATACATCTTAAAACCTTTTTTATATACTAAAAAAGTATAAAACATTTCAGTCCCAACTTTCCTTGTTGGATTTATTTATTTATTAGCAGACTATCAATAAATATTCCCTGGGCGGCTTATGACAAGCATGCCCAGGACAGCTAACAACAAAAGTAAGTAGAAAAATGACCGGACAAACAAATTGAAGGTAGCAGCAAAATCTATCAAATAATAAGCACCAAGTAAGCAATTATGGGGTGGTGCTGTGGGTTAAACCACTGAGCCTGGGGCTTGCCGATCAGAAGGTCGGCGGTTTGAATCCCTACAATGGGGTGAGCTCCCGTTGCTCAATCCCTGCTCCTGCCAACCTAGCAGTTTGAAAGCACATCAAAGTGCAAGTAGATAAATAGGTACCGCTCCGGCAGGAAGGTAAATGACATTTCTGTGTGCTGCTCTGGTTCACCACAAGCGGCTTAGTCATGCTGGCCACATGACCGGAAGCTGTACACCGGCTCCTTCGGCCAGTAAAGCGAGATGAGCGCCGCAACCCCAGAGTCGGCCACGACTGGGCCTAATGGTCAGGGGTCCCTTTACCTTTACAATTATGGAAGAGCAACAGCAGCAGCAGCAGCAGAAGCAACAACAACCACCGCAACAACCACAACATAAATAGTGAGGAGTGGAAATCAATAATTGATTCTTTGAAGAAAGCTTTCACACAAGAGGTAACACGGTATCCATCAAATGGCTGAGTTGACCGTAGGGTAGAAGTCAACCTGGTACCCTCAGAGACTCATTCCTGGCCATTCACCATGCTGGTCTGGGGTTGATGGGAGTTATAGCACAATGACATCTGGAGAGCATCATGTTGCCTCTAGGGACCAGCTGTGAAAGAGGCCCTTCTGAGAATGGGAACCCTGACAAAGACAACTCTTGCAGGTGTCCTGAAAAGGCAAGAAACTGCAAGGCTGCAGTTAGGGACAGAAGACAATTGAATTCAGTTCACATTTGCTTGAAAATTTGCACCTTCCAGGCTAATAGTGCATGTATTGAAAAAACATCAGCCCTTGAGTTTCACACTTCTATGAATTTCATGGTAATGCTTTTGCTCAAAATATGTTTGAAAACACACTTTAAAATTACGTTATTTTAGGATCATATAATTTAGAAATGCATAGCATGAGGTAAAATACCTATTTGGATACAGATTTTGTGATCATATGCTATTTCAATGCATAGTTATTGGTATTTTTAATTTTTGCATAGTTATTGGTATTTTTTGTTTTATGTAGACCGCTTAGAGGATTTTGCCCCTTAAGCAGGATATAAACTTTGTAACGTAAATAAGCATTTTAAAACAGATTTTTTTAAAAAATAAAAGAAATAAAATTGCAGTTTGAAACAAAACTAGGATGGAACAGACTTATGAATGAACACAAGCAAATCTGACTGATTTAATATTCCGTTGTTGTTGTTGTTGTTGTTGTTGTTTTTATCCTGCCTTTCCCCCAGATCAATCAATAAAATTATCAGCTCAAATGGCAGTAGATAGTTCTATCTATCTATCTATCTATCTATCTATCTATCTATCTATGTGAACAGACATTTCTGTTAATTCCAATGTGAAGCATCATTTTAAAAAAAACATCCCCCCCCTTTCCTGTTGTGTAGGGTGGAATGACTCTTCTATTATAGTTCCTGCCGCAACATATATATACATCATCCTTCTTGGCTGAAAAAGATTGTTTCCCCCATATGCTAATTTAACCCACAGATTCATTGATTAATTGACTGAAAACGTCATACAATTATTCAATTACATTTCCTTCAATCAAAATTAGTGACTGAAAACAAACAATGGGGACAAATTATGGGCAGCTAAACAGAACCCCTCATTATGTTTTCCTCTCCCTTCCCTCCTGTCTCCCTCTGTTACCCATCCCTACTATCTGACCTTAGATTGCAAACCCATCGGGGCAGTGACCTATCTATCTATATTTTTTATTTTTGCTTGCGTTACAGAAGACTCTGAAGAGAAGACAAGCAAGGCTTATGAAAAGTGAATTAAACAAGATGGATGTGAGCTGAGCTATCGCTCTCTAAGATCTTGGCATTTCAAAAGCAGCTGACTTTGACGATTTCTCGAGTGACAGGCTATACATATTCTTTCAAGTGGACAGGCCAACTAGCCTTCCCCGCCTCCCTCCCTCTCGCTTCCAGTTCCCTTCCCAGATATACATTCTCTATATTTATGGACAGTCACAGAAGGCAAGATGAGACTCTCAGCTTTTGCAACATATAAATATAGATTGCTACCGAGGGCTGCAGTCTCCCCACTTCCTAAAGGCTACCTCTTGAGGAAAAGCAGTTTGGTAAGGATAAGGGGCTAGTGGTCTGTGAAGCAGGGCAGCATCACTCACCTGTCTTCTGAGCACTGAGCATCACTGCTGGTTCCTGAGAGGGAGAGGGGCAGGAAGGGCAGCATGGTGCAGGTGCAGCAGCAGAGCCAATCCAATGCTCCTGCCGCCATGCTTGCACCATGCTGAGCTCCTTGCATCTTGCCTTTCCCCCTCTCAGGAACTGGCAGTGGCTCTCTGTGTTTGGAAGGCCTGTGCTTCCTGCTCATTGCAATGGGAAGGGCCAAGCCCTACCACAAGGCAGAGCGAGACAGCTTCCATAGCCAACAGATGCTGAGGGATGGAAATTGGCTGGGAAGGTGTGCCATGTGGTCTGCCCTGCAGCTCCTAAGCTAGCTGGCTGCCCTTGCATGGCTGGCACACCTATGAGGTGATCTGAGGTGACCCGCCTCACACTGCATGTTTGGCGGGGGGGGGGGGCAAGAGATCCTGATCCAGCCTTGGTGGTTTCCAATTCAGCTTTGGGTAAGCTGAAGATGCAGCCAAAAGCCAAAGCCAAGGAGAGCAGCAGCTTTGGCTCATTGAATGCCTCTATTTTTCTAAGACTCTCAGGCATGTCCGAAGTCCATTTTGGGGGCCTAATCCGGCCCACCTGTCGGTTTAATCCAGCCCCTGTGGCAGTTGATATCCTGGGGTAAAATCCTAAAAAAACCTCAACAACATCAATCCTAAAAAAAGGGTTGGCCCTTTGGTCGGCCCTTCACTCCATCAAATCAGGCCCTCTTTGGAAAAAAGTTTGGACACCACTGGATCAAGAGGCAACACTCCTGCAAAATGTCTGCATTTCTGCTGGTCTCCTCCCACCCCACCAGGGCACGGGCCCAGATCTGTGAGGAGGAAGTCTTGGTGGCCCACCTTGTCTCCAGTGCCAAAATGTCTTGGGCCAGTCCTGGCTACTGGGATAGGGCCAAGGCAGCTGTCTATTGCCTAACAGGCACCCTGGGAGGTTCTGTCATAAAAGGTGGGTGTTTTTAAAATATAATATAGGAAGTTTTCATTAAAAAAGAAAATATTGGGGGTGGGAATACAAACTGGGCGTACCCCACCTCTTTCCCCCAATCTATAGCACTGAAATGAAGAGACTGAAAGCTGCTAATATCAATTTGAAGGGAAATGTTAACACAACCATATATTACGGAATGTGGCAGGTACACTTTGTCCTGTAGAGCCTTTGTTCGTTTACTGGATGAACGGAAACCAGTCTGCCATGAAAGTCTCTTTCTCTTTTGCCCTCTAGCCACACAATGCCAGTTTTAGGTCAGTTTTTCAGAAAGCGCTATGTCCTAAATTATGTTATACAGTTTTTGTACTTTTAAACCCTTCGTTTCTTTCCAGTTTCCAGCTGTCAATATATTCTTGCTCCTATAAACCGATAACCAATTAAATGTGTATATAATGACCCTTGGCTTTCTCCACTGAATATACCCAAAAATACTATTTCAGGAGGTTCCCCCCACCCCCCAGTTTTCTCAATATTTTTGTTATTTCTACAAAGATCTCTTCCTAGGACTGGGAAACTTTGGGACAGTCCTACCACATATGTGTGAAACAACCATGAGCTGTACTCCAGAAAGTAGGTGAGTGGGGTTTATCCATTTTAGCTATTTTTGTAGAAGTTAAATGCCAGGAGAGCCAGTGTGGCATAGTGGTTAGAGCGTAGGACTAGGATTTGGGAAACCCAAGTTCCATTTCCCACTTAGGCATGGAAGCTCACCAGGTAACCTTGGGCCAGTTGCCACCTCCCAACCTATCCTGACTCAGAGGGATGTTGTGAGGATGAAACGGAGGGAAAGAGAACTATGTATGCCTCAAAGTCCTTGGAGAAAAGGTGGGATATAAATGCAATAAGTGATGATTATTGTGATGGTCCGGGACTCGGGCTCGGGCCCGGAACCAGAGGAGTCTCAGTCTGCACCAGATCCTTTGCCTCAGGCGGCATCTGGACCAAGTCTGGGGCCTGATTCTGAAGAGTCCCAGTCTGCACAGGTTCCCCTGCAACAAGCACCAGCTGGGCCAAGTCAGGGGCCTGAACCTGCCCTGGCTCCAGATCCAGGGATTACCTCGTTGCCTTCAGCTGGGCCATCACTTACAGCTGCTCCACTACCAGTTTGGTCAGGGGAGGCTGAGGTAGCCCCTGGGTCTAGTAACCCACTGACGTCTCCCAAGCTGCAGAGACTAAGGTCTGAGAGAAGGAGGGACCTGAGTACTCGCAGGAGGAGTGCTCACCTTCGGCCAAAACAGGGAGGTGAATCCCTGGGGAATCAGGACCAGCCATTACCCTGACAAAGATAAAAGGCTGTCGGACCCCACCCCAGGTTGCAGGAGCAACATTGCTGTATGCCAGATCCTGTCTGAGATCCTGTACCTGTCCTTGCCTGGTTTCCTGCCTCGTGTCCTGCCTTGGCCCTGTTGGACTGACTCCTAGCAGAACCTTCGGATTATGGACCGGACCTCGACCACGGTTCTTGGGTTATCCCCGGGCCCAGCTCAATGATGATGATGATGATACCTTATGTATTATTTTCAAATAGTTCTTGAAAGACATTTTGCATCATCATGCTGGGCTAGGTGAATATATGATCAGATCCAGAATGGCTGCTCTCCTGCTCTTTCCCAGCATTCCTTTCATCCTACCTGAATCGTCGTCATCCCCAGCTCTTGTCCAACCAGCACCTGCCCGTCTTGCAGCTTTGCGATCCTCGGCTCTTCCACTTGTATGAAATCGCTCACCAGCTCAGTGATGTCGACTTGCCAGTCAGAGCCCAGCAAGTAGGCCATCTGCCCGCCAGGATCTGAGGGTTCAGCTACGAACTGTGTGAGCACCCGCACCATGGCGTGCTGGTACTGGAGGGTGCAACCTCTTCCCTTCCGCTCATCCTCCTCTTCGTCATCGCTGTCCCTAGCTGGCCTGTCAAGGCAAAAAAAGCAGAGGGGTTGGGCAAAGAAGAGCGCCTTAAGGTTGTCTTAAAATCCTCCCAGTGATAGGGACATAGGAAGCTGTCTTGTATCAGGTCGGAATATTTGCCTAACTGGCCCAACACCATCCTCTTTAAAGAAGGGTCTTTGGCTGCGAGTGCCTGTTCCCAAGTAGGGGAACACACTGAGGACCCCAGCAGGATTGGATCCTCTACTCAGCAGCTGGTGAGTGGAGGATTCAATCCTGCAAGGGGCTGCTCTACCAGCATGTTCCCTGCAGAGAATGCAGTGGCAATGTAGCACCCAGCAGGATTAAACCTTCTCTCTCCAGTGTGGTCAGAGAGTGCCCTTCTCCCAAGTCTATATTTAATTAGGGTTTATAACCCCTGGGTCTGGATCTGCTGGATCTGGGCTGGGTACTCTTTGGGTCAACCTGGGCCAGGGGGTGGGAATTCCCAGATAGGGTCCCAGATCAGGCCAGGGTGTGTGTGCACACCTCTAATGGCAACCATCTGCACAGAGTGCACAACCTGCATCTAGACCCAATAGAACAACCTCAGTCAAAAGCCCACCTCTTATTTGAGACGATGGGGATCCGCCACCCCTTGATCTGATTTAACTCTGTGTCAGAGACCTCGATCTGCAGAGGGAGGCGGGGCACCCACACGGTCATCTCCAGGGGGGCACTCAGATGCTGGTACATGAAATGGACACGGACGTTTGATTTCCCTTTCATTTCCTTCCCGTTGACAAAGACATAGTCGCATCTGTCGGAGACCTGGGAACAAGAGGAGAGGTGGGTGAAGGAAAGCAGCAACAATGAAGTCCCTAGGTGAAATCGTCAAATCTGTATTTCTCTGGCAGTAGTCAGAGGTGCAGTGGGATGGAGCCGATCTCCTGAGACCAGTGTTACTGCAGCTATTCTGGATGGGGGTGTGGTAGTATCTGGGACTGGCAGGATGCTCACGAGTGCGCAGCGGGGGGAGAGGGGCTGGAGTCTGACTTGGGAGAGGGGGCCAGGACTTCTACTGACCAGGAGGCAAGAATTTGAGGCGCGGAAAGCTTCAGAGCTGAAGGGTGGAGCATGGGATGGGTCAGAAGAAGAGGAGGAAGAGGCAGGTCAGGCAAGTTAAGGAACAGGTACTTCCCCACCCTCTCCTGCACCACTGTCTCCCAGAACCAGGAAGGGGATGAGCTGAGGAAACTTCCACACAGGTGTACTCTCTGGCTGTATGCACGCAGCCCATCAGGAGGAGGCACAGATAGAGGGGAAGTGGTCCCCTATTGTTGCAACTGCTTCATAGAACACAGATATGGGAATAGCTGCCTGGACACTAGACTGTTGTGCGTGGTATTCAGATCTGTAGAAACAACTATAAGTGCCATGAACTGGCTGGATGCAGAGGAGTAGAGGGAGGAACCAGCTGGAGAACCCTCAAGGGCACCCCCAGAGGAAGAAGAACCAGGGGATTAGAGGTGGGACAATGATGAGTGGTCAGAGGGAGAAGGGGGAGCAGACTGGTACGAGGAGGTGTTGGAAGCTGAAGGGGCAACAGGGTTTAGTGAGCAGGAAGAGGCAGTGGCAGAGGGCAGTCCAGAATCAAGGCTGGAAGAGAGTGGGGGCAGGCTGCTGAAAAAGCCAGGAAGCCTCCCCTTTCTGCTGCGACCAGCTCTGCAACCCCCTGGTCTCCCAGAAGACAGAGAGGAATGAAGAGAGACAAGATGACAAAGCCTTAGGCTACTAGGGAAAGACCATGGGGAAAGCAGGGACCTTCAGCCTTCAAAACTGCTTCATTAGGGCAAGACCTACTGGGAAGAGTTGCTGTGATCTCCATGCCTGAGCTGCAGCATCTGCCCAGCACTGACCTGACCGCCATCCTGCTCCACTCCAGCTCCATCCAGGTGCATGGATCCTGGTATTGGAAGGATTGCTCCACTCCACCACACCCACCAGTACTGCTCATTGGTTGAAAGCTAAGAGTGAAGGGATGGGTCTTAAGTGTTTCATGCAGTGTCTTCGCTCCATCATGGGACTGGGGCAGAAACAGTCAGATTCCAGTTGCTATCACCCCCCCCCTTTCTTGCATCCAGCTTGCATCCTGCATCCTAAATATAAATCAGGACAAATGACAGGTATGCTGTGCACGGTTCTGGTTGCTGCACGTCAGAAGAGCAGACAAGTGGTTTATCTAGCTCAGCATTGTCTGCACTGATTACCAGGGTTCTCTTGCAACCCTGACATGAGATGCTAAGGATTGAACCTGGAATCTTCTG